TCTTTGAAAAGACTATTAAAATTAATAAATATCCAGTAAAATTCCATGAGAAAGATTGCAAATAAACTTTCTTTTCCAAGAAAAGGGAAACTTCTCTTTAGATCCTACAGACATTGGAATTAAGTAATAAGATATTAATGAGTATTAATGCTGATAATTTTTTAAAGGATCTTATTGTTAGTTATTTGAAAGGCATCACAGACACAGAGAGAGAGGGACAGAGAGATACAGAGAGAGAGAGAGAGAGAGATCTTCCACTTTCACTCCCCAAATGGCTGCAATGGCTGGGACTGGGACAGGCTGAAGCCAGGAGACAGAAGCTTATTCCTAGCCTCCCACATAGGTGCTGGGGCCCACACACTGGGGCAATGCTCTGCTGCTTTCCCAGGCATATTAGCAGGGAGCTGCATCAGAAGAGAAGCTTCTAGGACACAAACCAGTGCCTGTATGGGATGCTGGTGCTTCAGGTGTTGGCTTTATCCACTGTACCACAGCACCAGCTCCTATGCTGGTAAATTTTAAAAATCTAATATGCATGCTCCAAGAAAATGCATTTTAGCAAGAATGAATTAAGAGATGATAGGAATATTGAACATTCCAATATTTAAGATTCTTAATAAGATACTTACCTAAAATGCATTAAGGAGCAGGTATTAGATTAGCTTGGGCCCCTGCATCCATGTGGGAGAGCCAGAAGAAATTCCTGACTCCTGGCTTTGGATCAATGTATCTGGGGAATGAATCAGCGGATGGAAGACCTCTCTCTCTCTCTCTCTTTCTCGCCTTCTCTCTCTCTCTCTCTCTCTGTCTCTGCCTCTCTATAACTCTGCCTGTCAAGCAAATAAATAAATCTTTAAAAAGTGATTAAAGGTATTAGCTTAAAAATGAAAAAAGTGAGTTTTTGGTTTTTTTATATTTGGAACTATGATTATTTACATCAGAGATTGGAAATTGCTTTATGTTAGGAGAAATACAATAAATAATTTAGATTTTGGAGCCATGTGGTTGTTGTTGAAAATTTTTAACTGTATAACATTATTGCAACTATACAAATGATCATGGTTGTGTTTCAATAAATTTTATTTATGAAAAACAAAGAGCAGTCTCCAGTTTTACTCCAGCTCTACATAATTTGTCTCCCCTCAACAAAACTTGACAATTATTTTATTATTAATTATAAGAGATTAATAAATAGTGAATATAAATCCAAATACAAAATAACTACATTTCTCAATGTGAGAAAAAAGATAAAAATATTTTATGAACCAAAATATAATCAATATAAATATAACTATAAACAAATCTGGCAAAAATAAACAAAGACTTCATTAAATTAAATGGTTAATTTTATTGAAAACCATTAGTAAACACCTAAATAAATTTATTCCACATACTGTTTGTGGATTAAAAAACTCAATATCTATGATTAGTGGTAAATCTCATAAGAAAAAATAAGTACTTTTTGAGAAAAACTTAACAAATTGATTTTATTTTATGTGGAATATCAAATTCTCTAAAGGAACCAGAGTAATTTAGAGGAAGAAAAGAAACTGAGGCCCTTGCCCTATCAAATATCAAGCATTTATTATAATGCTATCTTAACTTAGTATAATATTGATGCAAAGACTAAACCATGAAGCCACAATGGATTCCAGAAACAAACCCACATGTATACAGACAATGTAACTTATAATTAAAGGAAAATTGCATGTTATAAATTCAATGATGTGCTGTTGGTATATTGTACTACCTAGACTTTTATATTAATAAATATAGGATAGTAGTAAAAGAATTTTCTCTATAATTCCATGAATACCAATACATAACACTTCATCTGAACTAAAACCAAATGATTGTGGGAAAAATTAAACTTTGTTTAAAAAGATTTTATTTATTCATTTGAGAAATAGAGTTACAGAGAGAGGGAGAGACAGAGAGAAAAGTCTTCCTTCCGCTGGTTCACTCTCCAAATGGCCACAGTGACTGGAGCTGAGCCAATCTGAAGCCAGGAGCCAGGAGTTTCTTCCACATCTCCCACGCTGGTGCAGAGGCCCAAGCACTTGGACCATCTTCTACTGCTTTCCCAGGCCATAGCAGAGAGCTGGATGGGAAGAGAAGCAGCTGGGACACAAACCGGCACCCATACAGGATACTACTACTGCAGGAGGAGACTTAGCCCACTACACCACAGCGCCTGTCCCAAAATTAAACTTTTCATGGAAAACTATGTCATTGTTGTGATAGGCATCACAAGTGACATTTACTGAATATATTGATAATGTATCCAAAATTAAGATGGATGATTTGTGAAAACTACCAACTAAAATCAATCAAATGCACTTCATGCCCCTTTATATCAAACAGCTTCTTTCCTGTCAAGGACTCTGGGTTACCAACTTTGTTGTTTATCATCCTCCTTAAAATGCTTGGGCAGAAGAGGTCTTCATCAAAGTAACAGATACATCAACTAACAACTTCACATCTCTGCAGAATCTCATCCCGTCTCACTGGGGTTTTTGTTTTACTGTTTACTTCTTTAAGCAAATGAATCACAATACATTAAATCACCTATTAGACAACCAGGGCCATTCTAATAGAAAATCACTCATTAATAGTTACCTAGATGTGAAAAATAAGGTTGATGAGAAGCATCTCTTCCCTAATCCACCACTAAAGTCATTCATAAATCAAGTGTAATGACACATTGTTGCAATTCTATGTCATTGCTTTTTACTTATATGGATATTTAAATGCTTTAATATCCATCTGGAAATACAGCTCATAAATTTTAACATTTAGAATTAACAGTCCTGTTTTTGTTACTACATAGAAAAGATTTATAGAACTTTTACTTTTTGAAGTTTTACCTCTTTAGCCTCATCTCCACATAAAAGTATTTTTGTTATGTATTAGTGCTGAATATGTGTGTCTGTGTACCTTTTTAAGAAATTAACTAGAAGACATGAAGACCTCTGTTGGATAACAATTGCCTGTGGAATACTCATTAGCTTTATAACTCCCAATTGTCTCTCATGCCCCTTTACATATATATAAGCACATATCTTTTTGTGAGAATTTGGTTTAGCTATGTATAAGAGAGAAAGCTGAAGAACAATAAATTAACAAATAAGAATGTATTTGTCTCTGAAGTGACAGTCCACTGGCGAGTGTTATAGAATTAGAGATGGTTACACAAAGTTGGCAGGGTCCTGGGAATCGTCTGGGCCACCACTCTTCCATCCTGAATGTGTGCCCTAGACCACAGAGTCCATGATGCTTCAGGTCTGGGCAGCAAGGTGAAGACAAGATAATGAAAAAAGGTCAAAATAATTTAGTTGGACATCAGACACACAGTATAGTCAGTATTTAACTTTTGCAGGTATACTAAAGGTACTCATGAAATTAGATAGAGGGCAGTAATCTAGAAATGCATTTGGTCTATGTTCTCTGTCACTTTCTCCCCACTCCACCACTCTCTTGGCTTGCCCACTCTCACTCTCTCCTTAGTTTCAGGAAACTGAAACTTGAAAGCTGACTTGACTTATTGTGAAAACTGCCTTACACAGTGAAGCCATAAATCAACCAGCAGCTTTAAATTCTGGACAAGAATGATGAAGCTGAGCCATCTTCCCTTTGACTCTTCTGACTTGGAAGTTGTTTGGCCTTTTTTTTATGTTGGGAGATATTTATGTTCCCTTCTTGAACTGACTTGGAAATCACGTTTGTTGCCAGTAGTCATCAGCAGCATTTCTGAACACAAAGAATCATTCCAGACAATTCATTTGGGAACAATTCTAATATTTTCACAGGATTGTGTATTATCCAACAAATATCCAGACATATATTTCATTTATACCTCCTTTTACCTTTTTATTCTTCTTCCTTCCTCCCTTCACCTCTGTTCTGTAAATGAGCTAAGGCTATGTATTATTTAAATACAGATTTGACCATATTGATGTTTACACTCAGAGGTTCCCAATTAGGGAAGTACATTATAATCTCCTGGAGAATGCTGTTCTTTTTTTCCAGAGGACATTTTGCCATTTATCAGTTAAGCTCACCAAATGTTCTTGCATTAAAAACATTATTATAGGACTTCTGTTATTTAATCCAATGGGTTCCAAATGCCAGTCTGTTACAATAATAGGTAAACAAGAGACACATAAAATAAGAAATATTTGGGGGCCTGTATTGTGGCTTAGCGGGTAAAGCTGCCTACTGCGATGCCAGCATCCCACGTGTGCACTTGTTCAAATCCCAGCTGCTCTATTTCCAATCTAGCTCCTTTCTAATGGCCAGAAAAAACAGCAATGGGTAGCCCAAGTGTTTGGGCCCATGCTATCCATATGGGAGTCCTGGAAGAAGCTCCTGGCTCCTGGTTTCAGCCTGGCTCAGACCCAGCCATTGCAGCCATGTGAGGAGTGAATCCGTGGATTGAAGATCTGTGTTTCTTCTTCTCTCTTTGTATCTCTAACTTTCAAATAAATAAATAGACCTTCAAGAAAATCACAAAGCTTACACATGTTCTCACCACACATGCACACATATAGGTGCACATAGATAGAAAAAGAAAAAGGTATGAGTTAATAGATCTGTTAGTTTGACTGTGGTGATTATTTCACAGTGTAAGTGTTTATCAATCAAGTTGCATATATATAGAAATATATAGAAATTGTATTTGTCAGTATCTCAGTAAAGCTGGAAAAATCCTTGGATGGACGTGCTGGCTTTGACCACTAGCACTGATGCACTTACTCCAGAGCTTATTTCTTTCTTCATTGTTTGAAGTACTTTATAGCAATTAAATTAATACTTAGTTATATACATTTATTTCTAGATTTATTTCATAAATATCAATTGAACTATATCAATGCTTTTACTCATGCATTTTCTTATAAAATGTACAACAAGACTTACTCAAGAGGATGTAGGTGATCAAAAAGCTATGGAGAATCCAAAGCTGTATTAGATTGAACTTTCTGATCCAGAGAGTAAAAGTCCTAGGTCCTAAGAGAAAAAAAAATGATTACTTCTTTTGGAAATCCCATCCCGGAGACTTAAGAGAAGGCTTTCTGTGATTTTCTCCATCCTGTGACACTGGTGGAGAATCTAGACACTTAATGATTACTGTAGGGTCTATGGCTTAATGAAAAGTTTTAAGTAGAGACACGAGGGTATTTGCATTGGGAGTGAGAATGGGAAGAGGATTTTCTCTGCTCAGAAACAATTCTCCCATTCTGTTGATTATCTCTTCACTCAGATGATTGGTTCTTTTGCAGTGCAGAAGCCCCTTAATTTGATATAATCCCACTTGTCTATTTTTGCTTCTATTGCCTGTGCTTTAGGGATCTGTTGCCTATATCAGTGTCTTGATCTGTTACTCTTACTTTTTCTTTAATGTTTTCATGGTTTCTGGTCATAAATTTAGGTTTGATTCATTTCAGGGTAATTTTGTGTGGTTGAGAAGTAGGGGGTCCTGTTTTACTCTTTATATATAATATATATACTTTTTGCACATATGTGTGTGTCCAGTTTTCTGAACCCTATTTATTGAAAAGACTATCTCTTCTCCATGTTAGTTCCTTGTCAAAGAAAAGTTGCCTGGGGCCAGGTATTATTGTTTAGCAGGAGGTTAAGCTTCCCCTTCGAGTACCTGCATTCCATATCAGAGTGCCTGTTCAAGTCCTGGTTAGTCCACATCTGATCCAACTCCCTCCTAAAGCTAAAGGCATCACAATTCCTGACTTCCATGCAATTATTGCTTATAGCCATTGCCTATATTTCCACTAAACTAGGGTTGCTTTTTTTTTTTGCTTTTTACTTGCTAAACTTCTTATTTATGAAGTGTTAAGAGTTCTTGCTATGATGTAAATTTAAAATGGAATCTCAAAAACTACAAAATAACAGAAAGGGGGAATAAAAAAGGATAGGAGAAAGAAAGAAAGAGGGAAAGGGAGTGGGGGAGTGAGGGAATAGATTTATATTTTTAGAGTTGTATCTACAAACCATATTGAATCTATTAAAACTAATTAAAATCTTAAAAATTTAAATATAAAATACCTTAATTTCAAAGCATACTACAAGATTATGGTAATTAAAATAACATGGTAATGCCATTAAAAGCTAGCACATAGATCATTGAAACAGGATACAGAGTCCAGAAATTAATCTACATACATATAGCCAACTAATTTTTGAGAAAAGTGACCAGACCATACATTGGAGTAAGGATAATCTCTTCAATAAATACTGCTGGCAAAACTTGATGCATATTATGTAGAAGAATGAAATTAGATCTATACCTCTCACCATATAAAAAATCAAATCAAGATGGATCAAAGATCTAAATTTAAGACCAGAGGCTATGAAGTTGCTGAAAGAAAATATAGGGGAAATCTCCAGAACATTGATGTAGGGGACGACTTCTTGGATAAGATAAGACCCCTGAAGCATAGGCAACAAAATCAAAATTAAACAAATGGGATTATGCTAGGTTACTTTTATAAGAAAAATTATATTAATGGCAGACATTTCTTCAGAAACCTGACAGGCCAAAACAGAAAGGAATTATTTAGTCCAATTTCTGAAACAAAAGAATTTCCAGCTAAGAATAATTTACCCAGCAAAGCCATTTTTTATCAATGAAGGAGAGATAAAGGCTTTCAAAATAAGCAAATCAGTTCTTTTTTGAAACTTTGGAAGAAATCAGCAGCGAAGCCATCCAGACCTGGACTTTTCTTTGTTGGGAGGGTATACATTATTGATTCAAACTATGTCTTGGTTATTGGTCTCTTTAGGCTTTCTATGTCTTCATGACTGAATTTTGTAGATTGTATGTATCCAGAAATCTATCCATTTCTTTCTAGATTTTCCAGTTTGTTGGCATATAGCTGTTTATACTCATTCTGACGATTCTTTTTTAATTTCTTTGATATCTTTTGTAACATCTCTCTTTTCATCTCTACTTTTATTGATTTGGGTCTTCCCCCATCCCATTTTTATTCTTAGTTAGGCTAATGGTATATCAGTCTTGTTTAGGTTTTCAAAAAACCTGCCCTTTGGCTGGCGCTGTGGCTCTCTAGGCTAATCCTCAGCACGCGGCACCGGCACCCAGGTTCTAGTCCAGGTTGGGTTGCCGTTTCTGTCCTGGTTGCTCCTCTTCCAGTCCAGCTCTCTGCTGTGGCCCGGGAGGGCAGTGGAGGATGGCCCAAGTGCTTGGGCCCAGCACCCGCATGGGAGACCAGGAGGAAGCACCTGGCTCCTGGCATCGGATCTGCACAGCACACCGGCCGTAGCAGCCATTTTGGGGGTGAATCAACAGAAGGAAGACCTTTCTCTCTTTCTCTCTCTCTCACTGTCTAACTCTGCATGTCAAAAAAAAAAAAAACTGTACATTTTAGAATCTTTTCTTTATGTTTTACTGTTGAAACCTTGACTATAATGTGCCATCTGAAGATCTTTTCCTGTCATGTCTATTAGGAGTTCTATGTGCTTCCTGTATTTGAATGTCCCTTTCTTTCTCTGAATTAGGAAAGTTTTCTGCTGTTATTTCAGTAAATAATCCTTCTAATCCATTCTCTCTTTCCATACCTTCAGGAACTCCCAAGACCCATATTTTAGGTCATTTGATAGTATGACATAAATCTCAAATACTGTTTTCAGTTTTTCTGTATTTTTATCTGAGATATTTCCAAAGATTTGTGTTTTAACTCAGATAGTCTTTCTTCTGCCTAACCAAGTCTGTTGTTATGGCTTTCCACTGTATTTTTATTTGACATATGAATTCTTCATTTATGGTATTTCAATTTGATTTCCTTTCAATATTTATATATATCAGCAAAATTTTTCTTTATTGAGTTTTCTTCTCATTTTTGAGTAATCTTATGATCAATCTTTTGAATTCCTTTTTAGGCATTTCATCAATCTCTTTGTCTTCAATTTTTAATATTGAAGTATTGTGTCCCTTTGGGTAGTTATATTGTCTTCCTTTTTCCTTGTTCATGTTTCTCATATTTCTACATTTATTTTTAGGCATTTGTGGAACCACTTGGTTTTCTTATGGCTTTTGTTTTGAAATGTGCCTCCGTGGCTTAGTGGAGATCTATTCCGTCAGTGGCTATTCTGGGTGGAGCCAGAGAGCTCCAGTCAGTACTCAGAAGTGGAGCAAGCGTCCAGAGTACACATAAGTCAGGTATGGTAAATCTCCTCTATTTTTAGCAGGGCCAAGTAAAAGCTAGTGAGATGGGATCTTCTGACAATATTCTGGCAAAAAAGCACCAGGAACATATCAAAGCTTGCACGGTATCACTGATTGCATATGTACCTATTTCCTGTAATTTCATTTCTACTTAGGTTATGAAAGTAGCTTACAGATGGGTCCTCATTATCTTCATTTTTAATTATCAATAATTACCCAGTACAGAGCTAGGATTTGGGTGAATATTCGATTAATCAATGAATTATTTTCTTTTTTACATCACTACCCTACTCTGTAATTGAAATGTGTTGTCACATAGAGAAAACGGTTTAGATTCATGAAGCAAAAATTTCTAGCCATTAGCCTTGATAATCACATAACTGTGTAAAAGGGAGAAATTTATTGATTATCTCTTACCAACAATGTTCTCATCCTTAAAGGAAAGATTAAAGCTACTCACTCAGTTTATGATTAAATGGGATAACATAAATACAGTTGAAAGCCCATCAACTCACACAAGCAAGTGGCTTAAGTGTATTTAACTTAATATTTAATTAGAATATACAGTATTCTCAAAAATTTTCATACTAAAATGTTTTTGTTTTTTATTTTTTATATCTTGTTTTATTTGACAGGTAGAATTATAGACAGTGAGACAGAGAGACAGATAGAAAGGTCTTCCTTCTTTTGGTTCACTCCCCAAATGGCCACTATGGTCGGCACTGCGCCAATCCAAAGCCAGGAGCAAGGTTATTCTTCCTGGTCTCCCATGTGGGTGCAAGGGCCCAAGCACTTTGGCCATATTCCAACCTCCACTGCCTTCCTGGGCCACAGAAGAGAATTGGACTGGAAGAGGAACAACCGAGACTAGAACCCGGTGCCCATATGGGATGCCGGCACACAGGCAGAGGATTAACCAAGTGAGCCATCGCACCAGCCCCATTGCTTTTGATTTTTTAAATATTTATTAACACCAGAAGGTAAGCAAAAACTATGTTTGTATACATGGGTGCAACAAAAGAAATCTTTCCTTCAGATTATTTTTCTTTTCACTTCTTTTTTCTCATAATACACTAATTCCATATATTTTACCTCAGGCAAAATCTGGAACTAAAAGTATTTATTTTATCTTCTAATAAGATGATAAAATTTGAGAAAAAATAAAATATATATCAGTTATCTGGTTAAATGACTAGGTGTTTATTCCATATCAAATTTTGACAAAAGACAATTATAAGTTAAACATTTTGTTACTATTCAGCATATGAAATTCTTATGAGGTTAGATCTTTTAAGTTTTAAGTTTCATAATACAACAAAAAAATCTTGAGGTACATATTTAAAACATTCTCTCGTCAATTAGTGATTATTTGCTATTTTATACATAAAATAAAATATTATTTTGATTGTTTGCTCTATAGACATGGTGAATTCTCCAGATGTTCATTATTATATATTTTTAAAAATTTTTTTAAGGGTTGCAACTTCATGCATTTAATATATACAGATTTGGAAATATGAGGATTCTCCCCTCCCCCACCCAGTGCCTTCTCACCCATACTCCCACCCTTCTTTCTCCTACCACTTCCTTTCAGATAATTTTTTAACTCATAGAATTAACCTTATAATAAGAAAAGAGTTCATCAATTAGTATGAAGTAAAAAGAAAAAAAGAATTGTTCCTCGACAGTCAAGGCAAAGGCTGTTCAAAATCAATGAATCATAAAGTATCACTTTTGCTCCTATAAATTTCATTTTAAGAACTCTTTTAGTTACCATAAATCAGACATCATAATGGTATTTGTCTTTTTGTGACTGGCTTACTTCGCTAAATGTAATGTTTTCCAGTTGCATCCACTTTCTTTGCAAATGAAAGGATTTCATATTTTTTAGCACCATGTAATATTCGATACTGTATATATACCATAAATTCTTTATCCAGCCCTCAGTTGATAGACATCTGAGTTGATTCCGTATCTTAGCTATTGTAAATTGTGCTAAGATGAACATGGGGATACAGATAGCTCTTTCATATTCTGACTTAATTTCCTTTGGATAAATTCCCAGGAGTGGGATGGCTGGGTCATATGGTAGGTCCATATTCAGCTTTCTAAAAAATCTCCATATTTTCCTCTACAGTGGTTGTACCAGTGTTGTACCAACAGTGACCTAGGGTACCCTTCTCTTTACATCATCACCAGCATTTGTTGTTTGTTGACTTTTGTATGAGGGCCATTCTAATGCAGGTGAGGTAGAACCTCATTGAGCTTTTGATTTGCATTTCCCTGATGACTAGCCATCCAGAGCATTTTTTCATGTGTCTATTGCTCATTTGAATTTCCTTTCTTGAAAAATGTTTGTTCATGTCCTTTGCCCATTTCATGACTAGGCTTTTTGTTTTGTGGTTCTTTAGTTACTTAATCTCCTTATAGATTCTGGCAGTTAATCTTTTGTCAGTTTCATAGTTTCCAAATATTTTCTCCTACTCTGTTGATTGCTTCTTCACTTTGCTGAGTGTTTCTTTTGCAGTGCAGAAGCTTATCAGTTTGATGCAATCCAACTTGGTATTCTGGCTTTGACTGCCCATGCTACTGGGGTCTTTTCCAAGAAATCTTTCCCTATGCCAATGTCTTGTAGGGTTTCCCCAATATTTTCTAATAATTTGATGGTATCACGTCATAGACTTAGCTCTATAATCAATTTTGAGTGGATTTTGGTGTAAGATGTAAGGTAGAGGTCTTGTTTCATGCTTCCACATGTGAATATCCAGTTTTCCCAGCACTATTTGTTAAAGAGACTGTCTTGGTTCCAGGTGTTGATTTTTGCTGCTTTGTCAAATTAAGTTGATTATAGATGTGTGGATTAATTGCTGGGGTTTCTATTATATTCTGTTCAATTGGTCTACATGTCTGTTTTTGTGCCAGTGCCAGGTTGTGTTGATTATAACTACCCTGTATTATGTCTTGAGTTATGGTATTGTGATGCCACCAGCTTTGTTTTTATTGTTTAAAATTGTTTTAGCTATTTGGGGGTCTATTGTGTTTCAATATAAATTTTAGCATATTTTTTCTATATCTGAGAAGAATATTGTTGGTATTTTGATTGGGATTGCATTGAATCTATAATTGCTTTCAGTATTATGGACATTGTGAAGATGATGATTTTTCCAATGCATGAACTAGGGAGATTTTTCACTTTTTTATGTTTTCTTCTATTTCTTTCCTTAATGTTTTGTAATTTTCTTCGTAGAGATATTTTTGACATCCTTGGTTAAGTTTATTCGAAGATACTTGAATTTTTTTGTAACTATTATGAAAGGGATTGATCTTAGAAGATGTTTCTAAGATGTGGCATGTCTATATATACAAAGGCTGGTGATTTTTGTTTGTTGACTTTATAACCTGCTGTTTTACCAAATTCTTTCATGAGTTCCAAAGTCTCTTCATGGGATCTTTTGTGTTCCCTATATATAGAATTATGTCATCACCAAATAGGGATATTTGACTTCTTTCTTCCCTATTTATATCTCTTTGAATTCTATTTCTTGCCTGATGGTTCTGGCTAAAACTTCCAAGACTATATTAAATGGCAATGGTAAGAGTGGGCTTCCTTATCTGGTTCCAGATCTTAATGGGAATGCCTCCAATTTTTCCCCATTCAGTAAGATTCTGGTTGTGGGTTTGTTATAAATTGCTTTGATTATGTTGAGGACTGTTCCTTCTATACCAAGTTTGCTTGTAAAAGGGCATTGAATTTTGTCAAAAGTTTTCTCTCCATCTATTGAGATAAAGATGTGGTTTTGGTCTTGAGTTTGTTAATGTGGTTTATCAGATTCATTGATTTTCAAATGTTGAACTATCCCTGCATACTAGGGACACATCCCTCCTGGTCCAGGTGAATATTTCTGATGTGGTTTTTTTGTTGTTCTTTTTATTTTTTGATAGGCAGAGTTAGACAGTGACAGAGACAGAGAGAAAGGTCTTCCTTCTGTTGGTTCACCCCTCAAATGGCCGCTATGGCCAGCGCGCTGCGCCATCCGAAGCCAGGAACCAGGTGCCTCCTCCTGGTCTCCCATGCAGGTGCAGGGCCCAAGAGCTTGGGCCATCCTCCACTGTCTTCCCGGGCCACAGCAGAGAGCTGGACTGGAAGAGGAGCAACCAGGACAGAATCTGGTGCCCCAACCGGAATGAGAACCCGGGGTACCGGTGCCACAGGCCGAGGATTAGCCTAGTGAGCCGTGGCACCGGCCCTGAAGTGTTGTTGGATTGGATTGGCTAGCATTTTGTTGAGGAATTTTGCATCTATGTTTCTTGGGGATGTTGTTTTTAGTTCTCATGCCTTTTTCTGGCTTATATATTAAGATGATACAAACTTCATAGAAATAGTTTTGGAGAATTTCCTCTTTTTATATTATTTTGAATAGTTTGAGAAGGATTGAGATTAGGTCTTCTTTAAATTTCTGGTAGAATTCAATGGTGAAGCCATTGAGACCAGGGATTTTCTTTGTTGGAAGGGCCTTTATTCAGTCTCCATCTTGGTTATGGTCTGTTTAGGTGTTCTGTATCTTCATGATTCAAGTTAGGTAGGTTGTATGTGTCAAGGAATCTATCCATTTCTTCTAGGTTTCCCAGTGTGTTGGCAAAGAGTTTTTTGTAGTAAATCCTGATGATTCTAACTGTTTTCCTTTTTCACCTCTGATTTTGTTGGTTTGGGTCTTCTCTATCTCTCTCTCTCTCTTTTTTTTTTTTTTTTGATCAGTTGGGCCAATGGTATTTATTTTGTTTATTTTTTCAAAATCAAGGTCTTCATTTTATTGATCTTTTGTATTTTTTGTTTCAATTTTGTTTACTTCTTTATTAATTTTAATTATTTCTTTTTCTCCTAGTTAATTTTTTCCTTCCTAATTGGGGTTTGGTTTGTTGATTTTTTAGGTCCTTTATATGCATTGACAGCTCATTTATTTGGTGATTTTCCAGTTTCTTGATGCAGGCACTAA